CCGGATTCTAGCATTGTAAGTCCGCAGACATACCGCTGTGCCACTGGGGGGGGGGGCTATTCGATCAGGCATGAAACTGTCCAAAAGTTGACAGTTAGTACTGTTGACTAGCCGCCTTCCCTATTTCCCTATAATCCAGCAGTTCAAAATTAGGGACAGCTACGAGCAGATAAGCCTTGTATAGCTTTACGCAAAATACTGAAACAAATAAACAAAATACGTGATGAATGTTAGAGAATTACAACTGTCCAACCGATGACGTCACTTAAGATTATATGTACAATTAATGTATTCATAATACCAAATTCTAGTTGAAAATACAGCATGAATAACGCCAAAATGTCCATGTATGATATAGCGATCTATCTCAGTTAATGAGTCATTTTTATAAAAACATTTATCAAAGTATTGGAACAAGCAATCTACGGGTCTGTTTTTGATTGATTGATTTAATGTTTGCGTATTTCTGCATGAAATTAGTATTTGTTCATCTTGGTACTCTGTAGAATGTGGTGATTGCTCCGTACAGTATTGTCTGTAATTTCTTTATGTGCGTTAGTGCTACATTTGTCCAAACTGGACAAGCATATTCCATTACCGGTCTAATGTATTGTTTGTAAATTTTTATAACATTTTCTTTTGTGACTCCTGTGTTTTTACATGTTAATCTCTTAACGTAGTTTGCTCGTTGCTATGCCTTATTTCTGATTTGAGTGATATGATTATTCCACGTTAATTTTGAATCATAAGCTATATCAAGAAATTTTGCCGACGTGACGTCATTTATAAGAGCTTGTTTGTTTGTTTGTTTTTGAAGTTAAGTACAAAGCTACACAATGGGCTATCTGTGCTCTGCCCACCACGGGTATCGAAACCCGGTTTCTAGCCTTGTAAGTCCGCAGATATACCGCTGTGCCACTGGTGGGCTTATAAGAGCTGAGTTTAAGTACATTCAAGGAGATTTTTTGTGTTTTGATAGATTTTGAAAATAGAAGAAGGTTTGTTTTAGGAACATTTATTTTCATTCTGTGTTTTGGCAATATTCGATAATTTGATTCAGAAGAGGCTGTAAATATGTGGCTGCAATCCAGATAGCCACATCATCTGCAAATTGTGATGTTAAACTAAAATTTGGATCATTTAATGACATATCACTTACATACATAATGAAGAGTATAGGGCTAACTACCCCTCCCTGCTCCGGGAGTAAAATACTCCGAGTAAGAGCCCTCCATATTTACTCTACATTTTCTATTTTCTGAGAAGTTAGACAACCAGCGAATAACACATATTGGGAATTCCAATTGTTTCAATTTAAGTCTTAAACCGTTATGCCATACAGTGTTGAATGCTTTTTCTATATCAAGAAGACAGGTAACAGTTCATTTCTTATGATGAAAATTATCAACATATCATTTCAGTTAACTTAACCAAATGATCTGTTGTTTGCCGAAATTTTCTGAAACCATTTTGAATTTCAGGTAATTTTGATGTGATTCTCCAAAAAATTGGAGATCCTACTGCTAATAATCCTTTCTAAAAAATTACCTACACAACTAGTCAGACTAATTGATTGGTAACTTCCTGGTTTCTTCGCTGGGTTGCATTTCTTTGGAAACATAGAACATTAGCTTGCTTCCAAGAGGCTGGGGAAAACGAAACAGCGGACACAAACGAACCAAAAGCCGTAATTTATTAAAGAACAGTGGATGAAAATCTTTAAAACGCATAATGAATCAAATATGGACACACACACTATTATAACACAGTAAACTAATATATAGAACAAAATAAACAAATATATACCACCATATTTCCCAGTAACGACAACAAATCCACAAATATTAAGCAACAATAATGCTTGGAGATGGCTTGAATGGATAATGAAGAAAAACTTTAATATAAGTTTAACATAAGAGCAGATGATGACAAAACCTTGTCAAAACGTTGTACACTTGTTGCTGTGTTAAATTTATATTAAAGTTTTTCTTCATTACCCATTCAAGCCGTCTGTAAGCATTATTAGTCTCAAAGTGGGTTCCTCGTCATAGAAATCGAATTTAAGCAACAATGATTATGCAAGTAAAGTAACACAGACAATAACAAAAACAGAAGTAATTATATCTATAGAATAAACCAAAAATATAGTTCCAGGTGAGGATGGAATACAAAGCCATTTTCCTAAAAAAAGGGTACTCGGAAATTGTTTACCACATAACAGCTTTCTTTAATTTATCCCTCAACCCTGGTCACAAATGATGTAAGGTTGGATATATTTTACACCTATTTTGGATATTTGTAAATCATTTCAGATGTGAACTAAAGCTTTAGGGTCTGGTGTTCATTCAGCTTTGAACAAGTGTCCCAGATATATTGTCTTAATTGTTTTATTTTGTTTCATATTTTCTTTCTCAGATTGTTTATTTCGGTTTTGATGTATGAATCTCTTGTATTGATGTATTGTCTTCTCAGGTGACGACGTTCTTTTATCATGTTTATAATTTGGATGTGAGGTTTCCATTTATTTTGAGTAGTGTATCGGTTTTGTTTGGCATTTGTCTGTTCTGCAGCTTTGATAAGGCACTCAGTGATTGTTTAACAATAATCATCAATAGCACATGGTTTCTCTGCTAGATTTATTGTTGATTCTGGTAATAATTGATCTGGGAAGTTTACATGT